TCTTCTTCAGTCCTCGGGTATGTGGCGACACTCCTGCTTTCTTTCTATTAACAGCTACTGACCTCTCCAGGAAGTCATCTTCAACATGACCAAAGACAACCCACAGCAACATTTTTTTTCCAGATGACACTTATAAAGCCCACACAAAACCCTTTTTTTTATTGCCCCACAAAACTCTAGGAAGGCTTGTTATCCTCAGCTTCACAATTTCTCCTTGATGAAGTTTCAGAGCAAGATTGGGCTATTTTTTGCCCTTTAAATTTAGATTTCAGATTTCCCTAATATTCAGAGGACACATCAAGCTCTCCCAAAACCCTCTAGAGCCCTTGACTTAAAGTAAAGGGGGGAAAACCCCCATCACCCCTTCTCCTTAGGAGAGGACTTGATGACATTCCAATAGCTCCCTTCTCAACACCCCCTGTCTCTCTAATCAGCAACTCCTCACACTTTTATACCTTCACCGTTGGTGTGAGCTTTAGAGTGGTTCAATCTTTAGACATTTCCTTCTTAATTCTGTATAGCTTCATAGGTTAACCTGGAACACAGTCCTCATTGATTTGATGTGTCAGCCCATCATCTATTTTGATATTCTATTACTTCAGCTAAAATTCTTTCTATTATAAATGAAAAGCCCAATAAAAAAACTGGCTTAAGCAAAAAATGGATTTATTGATTCATATAACTGAGAAGGAGTTTGCTTAGGCACAAATTGGATTCGCAGCTGGTAAGGACTTAGCTTACTCTCTCATTCTCTCTCCCTCCCTCCCTCTTTCTCCTTGGCTGTCCTTCCTGTGTTGCCTTTATGTTCAGACAGGGTCTCCCAGGGTCTGCAGCCCAGCCTGCTTTCCATTTCCCAGAGAGTCCCAGATAGTCCACGTCATTTTCCAATGTTCAGATTTGAAACCATAAACGTATTGAATTTCATGATCAGTCAAACTGTGAGCACTCTCACCTTCCTCTTCCCTTTGGTTCCCTGGCAATGATACCTGTTCACAAGTATTTCGCATAAGCCTCATCCTAGCCCAGACCACCCAGGCAATTGTTAATTTTAAGATCCCCTATTCTGAGGTTACAACTTTTGACATTTTAAATGTAGATTTAAGAAGAAATATCACCATGCTTCCTTATTATTAATTTTTTTCATGGGTAGACAAAGTATTAGAAAATAATAAATATATTAATAAAAAATTAATAATCATAACTCAGTATACAAAAATATATTTTTCCCATAATTGGATTTATTTTCTATTTTGAGGACCTACCTATTGTATCTTTTGGATACAAGTAATGTAGTACTTTGTAGCTAAACTCATAAAACATAATTATGCTTATCTCTTTAGCTTTCTTCTTCCATATTAATTATAGCTTAATACTAAACTCCACAGCTTTATACAAATCTCAGTAAAACACTTTTACATTTTTTATGTATAAGTTAGGGTTAGTTCTGAAAAGCTGCTTATTTGTCCATACAAAGTCAAGGGGTGTATATATGCACATATGAGTGATTTTTTTTTTGCTGCAATGCTTTCTTGTCATCAAAAGGCATTGATATGCTTCCTCCTTATGTGTTAACCTAGAGTTGGTTTCTACGCAGGAAAACAAACAAAAAAACCCTCAAACAAAACAAAACAACAACAACAAAAAAAACAACCCCCCCAAAACTCCAGAAGCTTCAGTCTGAGGGAAACAGTTGTGGAGAATATCAGTTTGTACATAGCATTAACTTATAAATAAAGCAGACACTATTTTGGTATAAGTATACGTTGGAGAGTATGGTGAAGGTTATGCATGACTAACGTGGTTCACACTGACATGAGAGATGTTTTTGTTTGTTTGTTTGTTTGTTTTTTTTTGTAACCAAAAACATTTGTATGGCGTGTAAGAGATGTTGTATAATTTTTCCTTTTTGACTACTATCAAGAGTTTCTTCTCGTTTTTTCATTTTTCTATAATTCTATTGTTTCTTCTCATGGGTCTAGCATTTCATGAAAGTGTGGCTTGATATCCCTTGAAAGTTTTGAAAAACTGCCCATTATCCCCCTCCAATCCTCCTAGGATTCCTATTACATGTATGTTAGACTTTTTCTCTATGTACTATATGCTCCTTACGCTTTTTTCCATATTTTGCATACTTTTTGTGTCTCTGTACTTCAGTCTGAATATTTTCTTTTCACCTACCTCATTTTGTTGTATCTCATGACATTTCTGCAAGTTATTCTAATCTTCATATTACAGATAAGCAAACCGAAGTTACATGAACAAATAGTGAGGGTTCAAACTCTGGCTTCGAAATTGATTTTCTTCCCATACCATGCCAAACTAAATCTTTACGATATCTCCATGTATAATGCCATTTTAAATATTAAGTAAGAAAGGCTTCATGAAATAAGAAGCAAATTTTGTTAAGCCTCTCAGGGGTTACAAAAATGAATTCAAGTCCTTACTCTTAATGAATCCTAGTTAAGTAGAAGATGAAATCGAGATCATAGTAATGCTACAATATGTGCATAAGTGCTGTGTGGATTTAGAGGACATGTTTAAACCTAGAAGCTAAAAGTGGTTTAGCAGTTGCCTGTGCACATATTCCTGGTAAACACAGCTGAGGGGATTAACACATTAGAACGGGTTTGGCACAACCACAGTCCTGTTTATTATGCTGGGTAGAATTTTTTGTTTATTTTTACAGAGATGACATTTGGCTTTTAGGAAGTTTTTGTGAGGTATTTGCTACATTTGATAAGTGCTTAGAATAAACCAGAAAGTTATTCCTCAACCACTTTATATCAATATCACAAAAACACCCCTTCTGCTATGCCATTCCTTGGCTCCCATATTCTTTCTTCACAATGTCCCTCACATTTCTCCATTCATTTCCTCACTAATTTAGACTTTTTCTTCACAGCTACACAAGCAAACACCCAGGGCAAAGAATAAAATTTATGAATCAACCTCACCACTCCCTCCCACCCCAGCTCCCCAGTTTAAGAAATCAAACATGAACCATCTATGGGATCATGTCGTCTTCACAGGAAAGATTGCTTTATTACAATATTTTGCTGATTTAATTATAAAAATACAAAGGGAAAAATGGTCATTTCTTCCCACAAACACCAGATTTAATTGTGAAAACCCATGGCTATGGTTTGAATGTCACCTCCAAAACTTATGTTGAAATTTAATTGCCATTGGAACAGTGTTGGGAGATGGGGCCTTTAGGAGATGATTAGAGCCTGAGGGCTCCTCCCTCATGAAGGGATTAATACCATTATCTCTGGAGTGGGCTCCTGATAAGAGCATGAGTTTGGTCTGATTTCCTCTGTTCTATGTTCTCACTTGCCTTTCTGCCTTGTTATGATGCAGTAAGAAATTCTTCAAATGCCAAGCAGATGCTGGAGCCATGCCCTTGGCCTTCCCAGCCTCAAGAACTGGGAAGAAAATAAATTTATTTTCTTTATAAATTACCTAGTCCTTGGTATTCTGTTATAGCAGCAGAAAATGGACTAAGACATCCACATATAAAAGTACAGAGAAATTGCCTGGAAAAGTTCAAGAAGGTTAAAGCAATTTGTACTTTATTCTCTATATTCTGTAGCTTTGGTTAAGATTGCACAGCCACTTTAATCTCTTATTGTCTTTGACTTGTAAATTACTTTAGAGAAAAGGTTAGTCTTATTCTCTCGTAGTTCAACATTTTATTCTTACTGAAAAAATATATTTAAAATTACCTTGGCATTTGGGCCATTTATTGAATTAAATTAACCTAATAAGACTCTTAAAACTACTTTAAAAAATATATACCAACAGAAATGTTCTCTTCTTAGTCTTATTCTTTATTTTAATTAGCCAATTTAGTACAAAACACTCTCTGAACACAGAGTAGGTTAAAATTTAGATTTTTTTTAATTTATTAAAAAATAGGTTTAAGTTGCCAGGCCCAAATATGTACAAAAAGTTATTTACTTACCACAAAACAGTGAAAAGTTATATAGATTTTTATCAGTTTGGAAATACAATATCACAGAAAGTTCTTCCTTGTTTTTATATTGCTTTTTAAATTTCACTGTAAATAATGACAGCTATATAGTCACAAACAAGCCTTAGTCTCTTATATCTAAACAATTTTTGAGGCAGTTTAAATTAATTTCTTATCTTTAAGAGAAACTGGGACTGGATAGATTAAAGAATTTAATTGAGAACACATAGCAACCTATTAAAACATTCACCTACATATCAAGTTTACACATCTTGTTGCATTCAAAGTTATTAAGTTTCCATTGCAAGAACAGGTCATTAATATTAATGGTCATTAATATTTTTACTTTGTCAGGATACTCTGATGACTATAAATACAAATAACTCTTTCAGTGAAACACATGCATCAGTGAATGCCCTGAAGGAGTTAATGCTCTACGTGTAGATACTTTATCTTAAATGTGCCATTTAATGCAAGAGCTGTCTGAAAAGTATCCAGCCATTGTTAATAATATTTTCCATATTACATGGTTGGATACTTTCTGGACAGCCCACATATATATATCATTTTATTTTTTAATGGGAAAAATCTTTGGTGTTGATAGTGCATTAAATGAGATAGGTATCTATCTATCTATCTATCTATCTATCTATCTATCTATCTATATGTATGTATGTATATATATATGGCATTTCCAAGTACAAACTATTAGGGTGAACAAAATATTAATCTCATCATTAATGTAATACCATATCGTGCCTGTTCAGCAATGAAGGAAATGAGTGATAGGACTTTAGTGTCTCCTTAATTTATTTAAAACAATGAAAATAGGCCCAGAAGTTTACAATGAGAGTAGAACTTAGTCATCTGGGTGTTTCAAGTCTTTCATTTGACAGCACCATCTTTAAAATACAATTGAATAGATTAAGTTAGTCTTAAAGAATAGCAAATGAATACAACTAAAGTTTTGGATCAGAATCCCCAATCAATTAATTATAAAAGTTATGCAAATACACAAAAGCAAGCATGCAAAGGAATATTTGTTCTTTATCTTAAAATATTAATGAAGAGAGATTATTTTTCCATGATTAAGTCACTAGAACTTATTATGATGAAAATTGTATTCTGAGATTGTACAACTTAGGCAGGTATATAATTCATTGCCATGTCCAATTCACATGTTAATTTTTCACTTGGTTGAAGTCTTATGTCTTCTTTGAGTTCTTCCAAAGTTTGGCTTAGTGAATAGATTCTCATTAATCACTTCTCTCTATAGGAATACAGGGAAAAAATACAAAACAGTAATGTGACACATAGTTGTGTTTAAACACAACAGGAAATTAATGAACAATATAAATTTCAGTATTCTACATTCTTATAGAATCGTCCTTGAATATAATTAGTAGGAAATGAAAGACATCTTACAGATTAGCTCTATTGGAGTTTTGTGTAAAGAAAGATAGAGAATTTCTTAGAGAATCTATTCTAAGAACCTTAAGTAATGAACAAATATAATTGCTCTGCTTCTAGTTTCTACAAAGATGAGAAACTAACAGCAAATTTGCATAGAGGCAAAATATAGTCCAAAGGCACTAAATGATAAGTGAGTTGATCTCATATATATATATATATATATATAAAGTTAAAATTTAAAGAAAGCTACCAAGTTTGTAATATTTCTTTTAGGAACAACTTCTTTTTCTTTATCCATTAAGAAGTATGCTTCTTCTATTTGGGAACCTTAGGAAATGTGTGTTCCAAACATTCTCCTGTGAGAATGGGTTTGTGGAGTCATAGGTGGCTACCATAATGGGCAGCTGACTTAGAGTAGCTTATTCTCATTTCTCACCAAGCTCAAATCATGCGCAAGTTCAAGGAGGTTAAAGTAATTCATACCTTATTCCCTAACATCTCTAGTGCTTATTGAGATGGCCTAGTCACTTTACCTTCCTATGTCTTTGGCTTATAAATTAGTTTAGAGCTGTCTTCTATAAAAGTAGGACTAAAGCAATTTAAATAATCTTTGATAATGTGTTTTCCTCCTACAGTTCCTGTGAGGTGGAGTCAGATTTTATAACCCATTTCACTAAGTAGGTAAGACACTTAATAACTTACCACTTGCACAAATGTGGAAAAATGAATGAACCTAAAATTTGGTTCATTTGACTTTCCACTGCCTTTACATATATTTGAGAAATGACCAGAGAACCAAAGCATCAATCCTGCTGATGAAGAAATGCACATGATTTCTTGGGTAAACCACATTCTGTCTTCTGTGCCTTTGCTCATGCTGCCCTTTTGCTAGAACTGCCTTGCTCTGAGTGACACCTACCTGTCCTTTAAGAGGGACCTGTGGTCATTCCATTTCAAGAAGTCTTTGCTACCTGTCCCAGTCTCTGAAACTAGTTGAGCTATGGCACCCACTACCTTAAAACTTGTTCACTGCAATGATACTCTGTTTCCTCCACTAGACTCTTAGCTTCAAAAGGATGGAGACTCATATTGGTACATCTAATGTGAGTGCGGTGCCCACCCCACTATCAGCTTCTAGCAAATGTTTGTTGCACTTAACTGAATTAAACTTACAAGGGTATCTCAATGCACTGTGTTGTATTAAATTGTTCCAAACTTTTCTGGGCTACTCCACAGAGAAGCTCAAGATTATAAGAAAAAAATGGCAGAGGTAACACTAAATACTAAATTTATCACCTGAATAAGGAGCTAAAAGTGTATAGAAATTTAAGTTTAAGAAACAGGGTTTGGGTGGTAATTGCTCCATTTTAAAAACTGCATCAAAACTTGTTTTGTGTTTTTTTAAACAAACTAGCATGTACTTAAAATGGATATAGATGTTTGTTGCAGCTACAAGTGCAATAACAAGATAATCTTAGTATAGCAGTGAATCTGGTATGACTCAAAAACTTTTGTTGTTTTAAGCATTTATTAATCCTCTTAGCTGAGAATTTTATCTGTGCCATTCATTCTAGATAGCATGAACTTCTAGGGCTAAGGAATTATGTATCAATTATTGTTAAGCTTTAAGAACTCAAAAGTTAATATGATGAGGCAAATCCTGCATGTAAACTGGGTAGCTGTGGTGGCTCTTTAAAACTCTTTATTTTTTATGACCCTGAAGTCTAGAAAACCTAGACAGGCCCAGGATTAAAACTGAAATCCAGAAATGTACAGGACCTCAGATCTGTCATGAACTTTGATTATTATGGAAAAAACTTCAATTGATTTTTTAGAATCCAGAATCAGATCCCTTTTGCTTAAGTATTAAAGCCTATTCCAGAGGCTTATTCTTGGTGGACATTTCCTAAAATAGACATCACAGGGGTTGATGCTTTTAGGCAAAGTTTAATAAGAACTATAGACTCTCTTAGTGAGTTGATGCCAGGGGCCCTAACAAATGAAATAAATGCAAGGTATTAAACAAACAGCAGAGGCAGCAGCCACTACTCAGCTTTTACAAATTGTTCTCGTGCTGGCATGGAGGCTCCTAGTGCTGCTAGAGTTTGCATTCCCTCCGTCCCCACAAAGGAATACTAATATCTGGATTTTTCTTTAAATGTAAAAATCTTCCATTTTTAAAAGTTAGCAATAAATGCTCTTTTGAAAAAGCACTATGTGGCTCAGTACTGTTCTGGATGAACAAACTGAACAAACTGTAACCACAGTCTTCCTCATGTTCTTTATCTACTTAGCACCTGGGAGTAGAAGAGAAAGTAGGAGCCACATGGCTGGCCAATGCTGCATGGGAGGTGAGGTCTTTGGGAATGGGGCTTGAGATGCTGATAACAGGTAACAGGCATGAGCACCAGCTCTGGCCAAGAACAGTTTAAAATGCTTTACATGCTGTAGCTCACTTAATTGTCATTAAAACTCTATGAGGTTGACACTATCATTATCATCTTATAAAAGAGGTGCAGTAGCTTGCTCGAGGTTATACAGATATTAAGTGTTGGAGCATGGATTCAAATCCATATCTGGCTCCAGATCTGGGGCTGTTATACCTACTGTAGGGTCTCCTATAAACATAACTTTACAGTTTAAGAAATAAGAAAGTACACAAAGAAGAAGTACACAAAATAACTTGGTTTGCTCTTTCACTTACAGTATTTTACTTGTTTTTCAGAAGCTATTTTATGCATAAAGGAGGATCTCATTGTACTACAGACAAATGTGTACATTAAAAAAATCAGTCTTGTAGCAGTGACAAGATAGAATGTATAGGAATCCTAATGGTTGTCCCCTCCCCTAACTCAGAAAGAAGTAACTCACTAATTTATTTCCTTTCCCAAAAGGCAAAAGGCACTATGAATGTTAACACCAACCTGGATTTTCCGTTTCAACAGAACTTAAAGGCACACCTGTGCCATGTGTGGGTTGAGGCTCTATAGCTGATGGATTGCTCTAGGAATAAATACCAGAAAAATATTAATACCACAATTTTCTAAACTTAAGATACTAAAAAGTGAAATGCTTCAGATTAAAAATATTTTTTTCTAAATTGTTTTTCATTTGGTTGAAATGCACTTTGCAGAGGTTTTTTGCTTTTTCAACAAGTTGCTATTTCATACAAACATCGAAACTTGTATTTGTTTTCCTTGATAGTATTTGGTATTTCAATAGGTGAAATAGTACCCCAAACAGTGACTCATACATATTTCCCCACTGTAATGAATAGTGAAAATGGAAATAAAAATAAAGGGGGTGTGATTTCTGCATCATGTTGACCAGAACCAAATTCTTCTGTATACATAAAGAAAATTCTCTGAATTTTGTCAACTGAGTACTTCATTGACTTTTGAAGATTTTAAAACATTGATCAAGAAAGAAGACAACTTAGTTTGCCATGTATGCCCCAAATAAGGAGATTATTTTCTCCAATATTTATACCTTAAATAAGAGGAATCATCTTATACCAAATCCTTACAAAATTGCTAATACAACAGCAGGCACTCTCAATTACTTTACTTTTATTAAAAAGTATTATTTAGGGAAGATATATTTACATGGTTTAAGGACAATTGATCACAGAATTGTATGATTATAGAAGTCACTTGATAGAAGTGGTTAAAAAAAAAGAGGCAAAGAAATTAAATGTGGATTTACTATCATTCTTATTGTCATGGTCCCAGCATAGCAGTGTTGTTACCCTTCTAAATAAGCCTTTTTATAAGAATCTATAGAGTGGTCATGGTCTCAAGATCACAAAGAGAGATTAAGAATATAAGATGAATGAAAACACAATTATACCAATCTTATGTGACTAGGTACCTCAGATCTAGGATTGTAAATACACACACACGTTGTGTCTGAAATGTAAAGTTATAGTAAAGGTTATATACTTTAGAAAGTTGTGTTATATAGATTTAAAAGTAGCATTAACAATGACAGGAAATCACTGATGCTGAAAATTCATGGGTGGAATTTGAAAAATTTCTTTCTGGAAATGTGAGAATGGAAAAGACCAAAAGTCTTAAACATATGTAAATATATTAAGTATTTTTATATACCAATAAAGTAAATGCTAAAAGTAGTAAATACTACAAGTAGAAATCTGACTATTTTCCTTATATCCATCAAAATATACCCAGTAAAGTTGGACTTTGGAGTATCTTTCATTGGGAAAATGGGGGGTAGATTTATATTTAGAGGTTCCCTTAAATTGGGCAAATTAAAAAAAAATTCTGCTAGAGTAACTCAGTGACTTCTATGTGTCCAGTTGAAAAAGATGGAGTTTTATGCAGTTTTGTTTCTCTTTCAGTGTAATTGAACTCAGAAGATTAATCCCCCCCCCCGACTTGAGCTGTTCACATTGGTCCTTAGAGAAAAATTAAAAACTAAATTCTCACCTTCCTCAGTCGGCCAATACAGTAAGAAATTAAGAGGATAGTTCCATCAATAACAGCTATCGCTGCTAAAATAATGAGTATTATCACTATGGGAGAAAAAGAGAGCATTAGAAAAGTGTACAATAAACTACCACATGTCAATTGAAAAATAAAACAGGTAAAATCAAACTCAGGCCCTTTTATAGAAAATACATCAATAAACTTTTTTGTGTATTTCATCTTTTAAAAAAAAGGAGTGTTTCACAGTAACTATGTGGGAAACAGAATCATAACGCCAGGGTTCCAATTCCAAGTCCAGTGTTCTTGACAGGTGTAATCATGGATAACAGCTGAGTGAACATGTTACCAGGATATGGGAAAAAACACAAACTCATTCATGGTTTGGACGTTATGAGAAAAAATAATGTCTTAATGTATAGAAGGAAAGATCATAGAATGGTTAGTTTGGGAAAAAACTGGTCTGAACAGTTTACAAATGAGGAAAAGAAAACCTAATGCTGTTAAGTCAGCCGAGGTCAGACAACTAGTTTAAAGTAGAATTATAACTATAATCCAGGTTACTTGTATTCTAAGCTTGTATTCCTCACTCAGTACCCTTATCCATAGTCTCTAATACAGCAACTAAAAATAATATATAAAATAATATATAAATAATATATATTATATTTATATTATATAAAAATAATTATTATATAAAAATATTATATATAATATTTTAAAAAAATATTATATAAAAATAAAAATGTTTTTCAAATCTTTTACATGTTGGGAATGAAACAATTAAAAGCCATTAAGCTAGAGGTACTTTCCATATTGATAACGCCGTTGTGCTTCCAGATGAAGTAAATAGAACGGGAAGCTAGACAGATAGATAAAATGGCCCATATTAATATTTGGCTAATTTATATATTTAGAAGCCTATGAAAAAGTAAAAGCAGTTTTCCTCCTGCTGGTGTTGCTCAGCCTTCCTGGCCCCTTAGCTTTAATTTAGGAGAGAGTGATTAGCTTTTATAATTCCTCTTTTCTTGTGTGAAAGATGGGTACAGGCCACGTGTGAAGGGACAGTTAGAAGTGCAGGTTGGTAAATGAGCACATGCATTGACTAAAGGCAGATCTGTAGCAACACCTAAGCAAAGGGGGCGTGATGTCACTTCAGCAGAGGTTGTGAGGAGAGCCCCACCGTGGTGGCATAGGGCCAAACATGAATCAGGACTGAGACATGAATGGTCTGTCATATTCAGACCATTCTCGATTAATCATTTATTTTTGATATGATACCAATTATATAGATGATTTTAAGCACCTTGCTTTCTTTACAGTAGGAAAGAAAGAAGTTGAATTGTTTTATAAGCACTTAAGAGACTTCTCAATTACCCATGGTTGGTTAGCAAGCTAAAAATTCTGGAGAAAAACTATCAACAAATTATATATTGCTATTTCCAACGTGTTTACAAATATGATAAATGCCTCTTTTGATTTTAAGAAGAATATTTCTTTTGCTTGTACAATTTTGTGGGACTAAAGTTAACAGCATATGCTCCTCTGTTTTAAAATTGGCACTTATTTTCTTAGGCATTTGAAACCAGCAATACCTAATTTAAAATGAAATTGGCTATCATTTCACGTCAAATATTAACATACCTGGCTCCGAGAAAGCATGGGCAATTTGTTTTCTTGGTTCTAAAAAGCAAAATTTCAAAATAAGTCAAAGTTGAATTAAATTGTTTAGGAGTTTATTTTTCTTAATCATATTTTGAGAGTTATTGGTTAACTTTAGACCTTTAGCTGGTAAAATCTATGAGGTAATGTTTCGTGTCAGTCTTACCATTAGTAATTCCAGTATCTACTTTTAACTACCCAACAAATATTCATGGGTGAGAAATTAGCAAACTGTCTCCTAAACTGAGGAGAAAGTTATGAGAAAGTATTGAAAAATCTACCTACAGACTTCAAGAAGCAATGCATTTTGTATACATATAAAAATGGCGAGAAGAAAGGAGACATACATTAATCTGTCACTCCACACAGGTACCAAGCCAACCCAAAGACGGGTCGTGTAGCTCTCAATTTTCCAGATTTGTGCCACAGCCACTGTCTCAATTCAAACTCTTATTTTGTCTCAGTTGAGCTTTGGCCAATGTCCCTCTGGATTTTCTGTCGGTAGAAATTTCCAGCACAGTTGCCTTTTACTCTCGCTAACTTCCCCCCATCAATCCTCATCTTACAGTTCTTTCTCTGTCGTCTCCACATGCCACTGCACATCATGAAGCCCTCTTACTATTGGAGCCACACACTTTTCATGAATTTAATTATTACGAATAACATATTACACCATATTATATACCATGTGGTCAAGGATTTGGTCATAGTTTTTTCCCATATCCTAGGAGTCACATATAAAGGTTAATTGGGGCTTGTCGTACTTTGTGGCAGTCAATACTTGTGGCTGGTATATGATCTTTGGAGTAAAGCAGTTGGGGTTTCAGTAATGCCTCTTACTAGTTGTATGGCCTTGGGCAAGTTACTTAATTCCTCTGTGCTTTGGTATTCTTTTGGGCAAAATGAGAAGTATAATGCCTATGTCTTTAAATTCCTATGAAGATAAAACTAGATAATGCATGAAACACTTAGTGCAGTGCCCCATCATGCTAACCATTATTTATGGGATAGAAAGCATGTAGCACTGTGTGTGTCTTTAGTTGGCCCTTAAATGCTTTCTTGTTTGGGACCTTGATGTTGGCTTGATGTTGGAGTCACCTGAAAATGAGATTGTTTAATTAGACTCTGATGTCTAAAAATGAGTTCTACGCACTTAGCTTAATTATCCTCCTCTGGTTTCTGTTCTTTTAAAAATGCATTGCTTCCATTTATCTCAGCACATTTTCTCAGTATTTCTATTAGCTTATGACCCTGTGGCCACTCTAAGTCTTCTCTCAGGCTTTATTTTAAATCTGGAATATCCTACCTAAACTCCACCTACAAAAGACTCTTTTTTTCCTCTTTTAACCAGCTCTTGTAAATACAGTCAAATCACAATAATGACCCCAGAGCAACTATTTTAAAATAAGAACAGATCTGTTTTCCCTTTTGGGAGGGACTGGTTTGTATGCCAGTAGATTCTGCAGTTTTCATTTTAGCACTAGGAGTGCTTGTGGTGGGTATTGTTTGGAAATCTCTCTATAAAACAGAAGTTGAGAAAGGGATCAAGAATGAGGGGCCTGAATAGACCCTAAAGCACATCACGAAAGACAAATTTCTCCCGTGTCCCTTCCAGTGGCAGCTCAAGGATTTTTTCTTCTCCCTTGAAAACGAATGAGAGGGTGAATGCCCCTTGGCCGCTCTTATCTAGGCACCCAGCTTTGCTGATAGTTGTCATTTATAAGGCACCAAGTATGTGTCAGGCTCTGAACCAAGCACTTTTATAAACTTCTTATTTAATCTCTAGAGAACTGCCGTCAGATAAGTGCTGCATTATTGGCTCCATTTTAAGATGAAGCGGATAGAAGTCCTGCAGAGCAAGTCACCCAGGGTCAGTCGCTAGTGCAGGGCTGAGCCCAGCTGGGTTAGGGCTCATGTCCTCCTTGCCATTGCGCTATTGGACCCTCTTTATCTGGCCCACGGTTTGATGGCGATATTCATCATTTCTGTGCTTTGCTATGTGGTTTTACTTTTTTAACTCATAGAATTATTTCTGTGAGATATTCCAGGGGTAAGAATTCCTCCGGAGTAGAGACTGTGTCTACCTTGCTCCCATTTCTCAGTGTTTGTTACAGTATACCTGCAGGGACAGGTTGCAGTAAGTAAGGTTGAATCACAATGATTCCAGAGCAATTACTTAAAAATAAGAACGAACCTCTTCTCTGTTTCGGGAGGGTTTCGTTTGTGGGAACAGGAGGTCCTGTAGCTTTCATTGCAGGAGTGATTGACGGAGGGTGGTCGGCTGTATAAAGCAGAAATTGAAAAATAGATCCACACATCTATAGTGAACTTATCTTTGACAAAGTTGCCAAGAATATACAGTGGGGAAAGGACAGTCTCTTCAATACATGTAGCTGGGAAAACCAGATACCCATATGAAGAAGAATGAAACTAGACTCTTATTTCTTTTCATATACAAAAAATCAAACCAAAATGGATTAAAGAATTAAATCTAAGATCTGAAACCATGAAACTTCTAAAAGAAAACATGGGAGAAATGCTTGGCACATTGATCTTGGCAAGGGCTTCTCAAGTTAACACTCCCAAAGCACAGGCAACCAAAGCAAAATTGGACAAATGGGATCACATCAAGCTAAAAAGCATTTGCACGGCAAAGGAAGCAACCAACAAAGGGAAGAGATGACTCACGGGATAGGAGAAAATATTTACAAACTACCCATCTGACAAGGTATTAAAAACTAGAATATAGAAGGAGCTCCAACAGCTCAATAGAGAAAAAAATAAAATAATTCTATTTAAAAATGGGCAAATGATCTGAATAGACATTTATCAAAAGAAGACATACAAATGGCCAACAGGAATATGAAAAAATGATCAACATCATTAGTCATCAGAGAAATGCAAATCAAAACTACATCTTGCCACAGTTAAAATGGCCTTTATCAAAACACAGGCAATAATAAAAACTGGCGAGGATGCAGAGAAAGGGGAACCCTCACACTCTGGTTGGTGGGAATGTAAATTAATGCAACCACTATAGAGAACAGTATGGAGGTTCCTCAAAAAACTAAAAATAGGACTACCATATGACCCAGCAATCCCACTGCTGGGTATATATATCCAAAGGAAAGGAAATCAGTATATTGAAAAGACATCTGCACTCCTGCGTGTATTGGAGCACTATTCACAATCACCAAGATTTGGAATCAACCTAAGTGTCCATCAATGGATGAATGGATAAAGAAATTGCAGTACATATAAACAATGTAATATTATATAGCCATAAATAATAATGAAATCCTGTCATTTGCAACAATGTGGCTGGAACTGGAGAACATTATGTTAAGTGAAATAAGCCAAGCACACAAAGGCAAATCTCCCATGTTCTTATGTACATGTGGGAGCTAAATATTAAAAACAATTGATCTCATGGAGACAGAGAGCAGAATGAGGGTTACCAGAGGCTGAGAACAGTAGTGGGGGGAGGGGGATAGAGCGGGGATGGTTCATGGGTGCAAAAATATAGTTAGATAGTCAGATAGAATGAACATTATTTGATGGCACAATAAAGTCACTGTAATCAACAATAAGTTAGGGTATACTTTAAAATAACGAAAAGAGTGGAATTGGAATGTTGCTAATACAAAGAAGTTATGAATGCCTGAGGTGATAGATACTCCACTTGCCCTGATTTGATTGATACACATTGTATGCCTGTTTTGAAACATCACACCCTAGAAATACATACAACTATTATGTACTGATAATAATTAAACATTTGAAAATTAAAAAAAAATAGAAGTTGGGAAAGTGATTAAGAATGAGGTGAGGGACCCTAAAGTATATCATGAAACATGAATTTCTCCCACATTCCTCCCAGTGACGGCTCTAGAATTTCTACATAGCAAGGGCATACAGATAAGGAAAGCATGCTTTAGCTTTCTCATCTGTAAAATGATAATATCTGCCTCAAAATGTCACTGTGAGAACTAAAATAGTTTAAAGTGTGTGTGTGTGTGAGTGTGATGTGAATGTGTGTGTGTGTTGATATAGTACTTGGCACGTAATGAGAATTACATACATGTTGGCTATTATTGTTATCATTCTTATAAAGGGGTAACTTGGAGCTGCATTTGGGAAATTGTCTGTGTTGAACAAAGGTGGAAACTCATAATGATTATGCAAAATGAAAGTTTGTGCCTATACCTCACTGTCTCCATCTCCTAGGTACAATTCTGTTTCTCCATTAAAAATAAAAATAAAAATAAAATACTATTAAATTCAATATTTTCTGAGCGTAAGAGAGGAGAGTCAATTCTAAGGTTCCCCACCCATACTTCTTTTCTTTCTTTCAAAAGTAGGTCAGAGTTGCAATGGAATTGTAGGGAAAGCTGGCTCCAGCCTAAGATACTGGCTGAAGAGCTAGATAATCAAATGATAAAACCAGTTCTAGGTCATGGCTATTCTCTAGCATAAACATACATGCACAGAGACATGAAAACAATGTGCATTATCACAATCCTCTTAAAATCTCATTAAATGAATTATTCTTATTAAAATCTCATTAAATGAATTATTCTTATTACTAAGCAATATTTTATTTTAAAATAAATTTAATAGATTGTAAGTGTATAAATTACTTTATAAAGTTCTATAAATTAAACAAGATTTTTTGTTGCAAAAGTAATATAGATTCATTGCAGAGCAAGAAGGCACAAAGAACAATGTAAAATTCATCTACTGTCAAACTACCCAGAGTTAAACACTTGGCATATTTTGCTATACAGACATCTGGATTTTTATTAAATAGTTGTTATATCTGAATATGGGATCATGGTATTTAAATATGTATGACTATATATATAGTGTTTAGAAGTCTGAATTTCTATTTAATAAGCCACAGACATCCCTATGTTTTCAAATGCTCTTTTATGACAAGATTTTTAAAGGCTACATAGTATTCTACTGTATGAACGTACTGTGGTTGATATATATTAATCTCTTACTTTGAGCATTCATATTACTTTCATTCTTCTGAGAAAAAGTGAAAAAAATCACATGAAACTTAATGAGTGAAAGTTTTAGAAAGATTAACTGAGGCCATCTGGCAATTTCGGCAGTGACTGCAAATGTGTATCTTCCTCCAGGCTTCCAAACTGTCCAGCAGAACATTAGGGACTCCATGAGTCAGAACTCCATGGGGTTCCGTTAGGGAGGTGTGTTCAGTCCCTTTTCTTTGTGTGCATGATCCAGCCCTGCCTGCCTCCCGCCTTCATTGCTTACCACTCCGCCCTTCCCTCTCCGGCCTCCAGTCCCTCTGGACATCTCTGGGTTCCTCAAATGCACCATACCCTTTTCCATGTACTAACTTATGGCAGCTCTTTCCTTCATTTGAAATCTTTTTCTCCCTATCTTTGCCTAGCTATCTGCATTTCAAGTCTCAATTCAATGCCCCTTCCTTTGGGAGGGCTTTCTTGACCTCCTCTAATTACATTTAGACTAAAAAGCTCCTTGAAATCTCCAATGCTTAGCCTAGTGTTATAAAGGCTCAGTGAAACCTTATGATTGTTTAGAATCTAGATATTCATTCCTTAGGCCTTGATGCTTACTGGGGGCCTTGGTGTTTATTAATTTGTTCATTCATTTACAAAAGAGTTTTTTTTTTTTTTTTGCATGTCTACTATGGGCTGTGTTTTAGAAATAGAATGGTAAATAGTTCATGGTCTTTCCTCTCAAGGGAATTCCAATTCAGTAACGAAAGATGCATATTTATTCTAAGAATAATAAAGTACTCTAGGCGATGGTAGAAGTGAGGGCACAAAGGAGACAGTGATCAATTTCATTTGTTGGAGGAGGTGGTGGAAAGACCTCATGGAAGTGTCCTTTGAATGTATCTTGAAAGGAGTCTAGGATTTTACCCAGCAGGCTATGTGGACATTTACTTCCAGAGTCAACAGTGTCAGCAATGCTCTGCAATTTGAGATACCATTGCAAGCTGGGGGAACGGCAAGTTATCTATGAGGCTGCAGCATGAGATGTGAGAAGGAGACGAGTACAGAAATGGATGCACAGCAGGCTGGAGAGGGAGTGAAGCACCCAATGTTGTGGGCCATGCTGTGGAATTTGGACTTTATTCTTAAGACAGTGGCAAGTCAATAAAGGGTTTGAACCAGATTTTCATTTGGGGAACATCACTGTCAATAGTGCGGAGGATGATGTGGTATCAAGAGCGTGCTCAGAGCTCTGCATTAGAGGGTTCGATCTTGTGTTCAACAGTGGCCGAGACAAGCAGACCCTTTGCAAACAAGCCATTCCTCCTCACATAGGATCCATATCACTTCCTGACTTTGCTTTTGGTGGAGAAGGCCAGTAGATCGAGGCCTTAAACGGACAGAAAATTATAGCAGGATGTCAAAATAATATGGTGAAGGACCAGCAACAGGATCTCAACAGCTCTTAAAACTGTCACTTTAAGGCTTTTAATTTTAAACAAAGTCAGAAAAGGTGAAAAAAAATTTAATTTGTAAGCTAAGAATGGGTAGCTTTTTCGTAGCAAAATGAAAAAGTGCTTAGGGAGAGAGTTCATTAAAATAAGTTCTGAATTTTATCAAAACTATTTTAACCCTCTAACAAATAGGTAGATGTCTTTCTCCTTCAATAGCTATTGCTCACAGGGAGGGAGCATTTAGTGGAAATTTTGTTCTGAAGGAGAGGCTGAAGCCACAGAGATGGAAACTTGTACCCAAGTTTACCGAGGAGGACCCAGACCCTGACATTGGCTTTAGAATTTGCTCTAAGTTCGACCACAGTGCCTCTCTTTCCAACTAGATCTCCACACCTCTACTCTTGCTTTCCCCAAAGCTCTAAACTGTTGTTAGAACTTGGGAATCTCTAAAATTGAAGACAACAGATTGCTTAGAGGAACAAAGTCCTTTAGGCAAATACCAAACATTGTACACACTTTATATAAGTCCCAGCTAAGCACATCATGTTTTATTCGTACCCTTACAAAAACTGATTGGTGACCAAATTGATTTGACACTGAAGTTTGCTACTTATGTAATTAATTCTGGCTTAGTTCTCCAAATTTTCTTGCTTTGATACAATTTCTCATTATAGTCACCCAAGTCAACACAGTAAGGAAATAAATACTTAAATCCCCTAAAATCAATTTGGTGGAAAGTGCTTGTTACATCATTTCCTCAACAATCTAATAATGGTAGTTGACCTATAAAATGATCCCTGTCATAGTTATTCTTCCATTTCCAAGATGACCTTGGA